ACCATGTGGCATCATGCTCACTGTATAAAGCTGAGGGAGGAAGAAGTAAGGGGCCGATGGATGTTTGGAGTCATGGCATTTGTCTTCCCAAGTAACTGTTAAGTGTGATGGAGTCCTGCTTTCCTGGGGATGGCTGAACACCTGCCTGCCCACAGGAAGTGGTGAATGGATTCCTTCTTTTGCTTCCCTTGTGCACAGCTTTTGCTTTACCTATTAAACTGTCTTATTTCAACTCATGAGTTTTTCTCACTTTTACTCTTCCGACTCTCTTCCCCATCCCTCCAGGGGAGTGAGCCAGTGGCTGTGTGGAGCTTAGCTGCCAGCTGGGGTTAAACCACACAGTATTGACTTGATAGTGTCTTTATACTTGTATCTTTCTGTTGCCAGAAGACAGCTTGTTTCTTCTTTTAGCCTGTAGCTTCAAAATTTCAAATTCTGACAAAAGAAAGCAAAGCACATGCTGAACTGCTTTGCTCAGTACAGATTGCAATCAGCAACATTCTTTCAAATTCCACTCTGAAGCTTGCAAAGTAAAGGCTTCATCCTGCCAGGCACTGGTATTAAGTATCACATGGAAGGCAGTCATAATTCCAGTTCACTGTAGCAAGGAGCATTTAAAGTTGAAGTAAACTCAATGCAATGTAATGCATTACATTGCATTGAGTTGCAATGTTCACTTTTGCAATTGCAATGCTCACTTGCAAAGTAATGCAAGTGAACAAGGAAGGACAGATGAGATGATGATGGCTTTTTTTCATTAAACCCTAAGTGAAGGGATGAGAGCCCTGATTTCTGCTGCTAGTCCTGCTTGTTTGAGCATCACAAGCTAAAATACATAAATATAATTTGGAGCAAGGAACAAGACTCTCCAGAACTCATAAACTGCTGGAAGTCCTCATCTCACCATACTACATACAGGTTCCCTATAGCTTTTGCTTTCTTCCTGGTCCCATTAATCTTGCACTCTGCTGCACACTGGCTCTGCTTCAGCAGGGTGGACAGAAAACACCACAGCTGAAGCCTATTTCGTAGCATGATTAGGCATTTTATTGAAAACTACAGATTCAAATTCTTCCAGCTGAAGAGGGCTCAGATTTTTCACTTCCATGGAAGTGCTCTAACCCCTAGGATATCACGTTGTCTCCTCTGCTAGAGGATGTCGGGATTTTCTTCAATGAAAAATAAAGGAAAATGCCAGTGTTGTAATTTTACAGTTGATCAGGGCATTCTGTTATGCTCAATTGTTGCCTTGTTCTTCAGCATTCAAATGAATGATATATTAAGAGGAAGGAAGGTTTTAACCCTACATCTTGACATAAAGAAAAAAAAAACCACTGGAGGGATTCCTCCTCTTGCATGTTTGTTAAGGAGTTCTACCTGGGTAGGTTCTGTAGGGAACTCTGAGATCTGCAAGATAAGCTGTGCTGCCAGAAGGCTGAGCATCCCGCTGCTACCCTGGGGGGGTGGGTAGGAAGAGAGCTGTGGAATATTCTGCCGCAGAGGCAGAAGAGAGAGACTGTTCCAGGAGGTAGAGAAATGCAAGACGAACAGAACAGAGAACTTCACACAGGTTTCTGGAATAAGGGGAGTTGAGATGAGGTGAGGGGCAAGCACCACTGGTTCAGGACCACCCTAAGCAGCTTCCAGCATATTTTCTTGTGGGTCTGTGATCCTGTACATGGTTATGAGTACACAGATCCCCTGTCCCTGCAGTGGGGGGGTCACACCTCTCTTGTTCTGGAGAGATGCATGTGCTTTTCACTGCAAACATTCCTTTGCTTAACAGGAATCTGGCCTTTACGTTTTTGTTTCCATGGTATGAAGGCAATTCCAGGGAGAAGAGGAGAAACAGTTCTCATCCAGGTAGTCTCTAGCTAGCCCTCCATCACATGTCCAAGTAAAGATGTGAAAGGGAAAGAAAAAAGAGAAGGGCTAAGGAGCATTTTTAATCATTTTTTTCATGCAGGGTGCAGTCTTTTTGATAGGGACTGTTAACTGTTATTATCAATCAGCTAACTACACAACTATTTTAATCCCCTTGCATACCCTGACAAAATGAATACAGGTCATTATTTGTTTTTAACACTTGGTATTGTCCATTTAATTGTAAGGAATTAAGAAGGAGCAGCTGTGCCAACATATATTATTAATGTATTTGAAAACAGTGAGTAATCTACACAGTTCAATTATAGGGATCCCTATGTCCCCAAGCCAGCAATCAGAAAGATTTACATTTTAATTGATATTTTATTCTGTAAAGGAAAATAAAAACCTTCAGCTACCTAAGTCCTTACAATTAATTAGGCACAAAATACTCCATAAAGATTAACAGTACCCTCATCCCAGGAGTGCTCAAATAAAAATGCCCAAAAGGCAGAAGCACTTTAAAATCTGTAAGATATCAGTATAACATGTCTAACAACAGTCCACAATCCACAAAACAGCACATGCATTTGCAGTAAGCAACTACTCATCAGAATTGTCAGGCGTGGCATGAATTTGAGCACGTATGGCATCCCTAATTTCCACTGCCTGCTTTAGCCTTAGGTCTGCAGTTCTTATGAGGGCACATTGTTTGGTTACGGGATCCATCAGTATGTAGGCTCTGCTCCACAATAAAAATACTCACCTCTAGTTTTGCAGTTACAGACTGTAACAAAAGCAAGTCACTGCTGTATGTTCATGATTTTAGTCTTGACATCCAGGTCATTTTCAAGCCAGTGCCATTTTGCTTTTGTGTTCCACATGCACAAGCCAATCATACCCTGAATCTTCTAATGTATTGGACTGCAAAGTAAAATTGCTGAGAGCCTGTTTCAGTACTTGAATGGACTTGTTCAGTCATGTACTATGGCCCCAAAAGGCTGGAGTACCTCCCTTGCAGCCGTGCCATCCTCCAGACATTGTGGAGCCATTACTGGTCACCCCATGTCAGCAAGGCAATACTGTCCCACCTACCATGCTGTGTCTTGTTCTGCTGTTCCTTAAGTGTTGATGGATGAGAATGCAGCATTCGCCTTGTTTCCCAGATTTATCATATGCTCTGTGCTCAGTCTCCATACTCAATGCCTTCACATAATGATGAACTGTCCCTCTGATCCAGTGTCCCAAACCACAGCTGCCAAGAAACACAGAACCAAACAGTGTGCAGGCCCTGCAAAACCATATGTCTTGGCAGACTGACACAACTTCTGCCCTTGAGCCTACTACAAAAACCCAGTGTCTCACAATGCACCATAAAGAAGTGTCCTGGGAACAGCTCTGCATTCCCATGGAGTGAGTAGATTTGCCCCTATCAACTGCCGCAAGACTGTTAGACACAGCATGAGCACCGGTAACTGTTAGTTGGAGCCTGTTAGGCAAGGAAGCATGTGTGGGAGTGGGGCAAGTTTACTTGTCTCAAGCTTGACATCCACGTGTGCAGATGTGCAGATACTTGCTAATATCTACCTGCCTTGTAAGGTCAAATATTTTTACTATATTGAGGTGCAGGGGTCAGGCAGCCTTTGTCACATCTTCTGGCAGATGCAACCTGTTGGTAGGTGCAACAAGTCCAAGCTATTAAAATCCTGACTGTACATGGCCTTGAGCAATGCGACCCTGTTGGACAGGCTCAGATCAGGGAGGACAGACTAGATGATCTCCAAAGGTCTCTTCCACACAAAACTCATTCTATAGCCTTATGCTACACAGGTAGCATTTCACGTTTCTGTTACATCTGGAAAGATGCCCAAACCCAGAAAGAAAATATGCCTTTGGGAGCTACTGTGGTTAAATGCTGTATAGCAGCCACAAATCATGTGTCTCCCTTCCTGGCTGCAAACATTGAGCTTTGTAAGCGATGTTCCCCCTAACAGCTATTAGGCTAAGATTACAAGCAGCACATCTAATGAAGAGCTGGATTCTCATCTATCAACATTACAGGTTTTTCTTGTAATCTTATGAATGTAGCCTTGGGCAAGACTTTCTTAATTCATGTGCTGTTTCATTAGTTTTGGCAAACCTGCATGTGCTGCTAGTTGCATTCCTGTTTCCATAACCCTGACACACTTTCTTACTTTCATTGTCTCACACAGTCAGACATACTTTAAAAAGTGGAAATATTCTCATTAGTAAGGCTAAAGCCACTGCACATGTACTTGCAAATGGTCTGCACTTGTACATGGCTTAGCACAAGTGGGCTCATCTGGCCAAGCTCTCGTTGGGTGCTGCTGTAATCTAGATGTAGTAATGTGAAGGTCTCCAGTATTATCTTGACTGCACTGAGCTACTTACCTCTGAATAGAGAATATCAGTGGTTGCATAATTTCCCATTATGCTGAGTTTACATTATAACATACTGATTTTGGCACAAGCCCCTATTGCTAAAGTTAGAGTATGCCTAAAGCTATAAGCTAATGTTATTGATCAAACCTGTTTTGTTTGTGGGGACGGACAAGTGGTAAAATTCCTTATATAAACTTGGAACAGATGAAATCCTGACAGCTGATCAGAGCAGACAGTGGGCTGGGAGGGTAAAGCTGTCAGTCATGATGCCAAAAATGGAGTTACACTAAATTATCTTTTTCTCTGAAAAGTAGCAGGAAGATCAAATTAATATATTGCAGTAAGGGGGAGATACTTTATATTACCTACTAGACCTCATTAAAAAATAACTAGTCATATGAAAAAAACTATGAAATTAAAGGCTAATCTGCAGACAGTTTATTAAGGAGTTAATTAAAAAATAACTGAATAATTTTGAACTTAAACAACTGCTTGAATCCTGAATAAATTCTATTTAGTCCAGAAACACACCACCATTTTACCCAGAACTAAAATGAGCGAGTGCCATGACATGAGGAGCTATGGGCCGTGCAATCTGCCCTGAGGTGAAATTGTAGAGCTCATGCTGTGCCAGTATCATAGCTAATGCCAGTCAACAAGGTAAGGGCAGACACTGTCCTTGTATGAAGGCTGTGGAATGGATGTGGCTTCTTCCTAACCCTGTTAATGTCAGATCATGTAATATTTTCTGCTGGCAGAAGCTGAAGGATTTCCAGCTCTGCACCGTGCTGCAATGTATCTGTAGTGTCTTGTAACTGATGTATTTTGCTGAGAAACCAGAGAGAAGAGCAGGAGTTACACCAGGAACCCAGAAATCCACATCTGAAGCAAACTATGTATCAAATGCATTTCAACAAAAGGACAAATTTGCTTGATAAACTCTGAAATAATTACTTGATGTACTAGACTTTTTGAAAGCTTTTATAAGATATTAAATGTGTATTTGTTGGCTTTTTGATACAGAAAATTACTGCATATGAATAACTTTCATGCTGATTCACAAGCTGCTACATATGACAATAGCAACAGCAGAGATATTTGATGGAAAAAGCTTATTGGCTTAGGTTATTAAATAAAGCTTCTGCTGGAGCAGAATTAAATTAGTATATAATAACATTTTCACATTATAAAAAAAAGTCAAGTAAAAAATAACAGTCAAGTCAAGCAAGACAGGTAATATCTGCAGAAAATCTGATGCTGCCTTTAAGCATTCAGCTTAGTGTCTGTGGGCTGTAGTTGTTCATCATGATCCTAAAGCCACAAAAGGAAAATTAGTCTTCGCAATATTAGATCACAGTGTATTTTCTTATATGAAGGTAAGATAAATACACATTTTTTGATTAGTAAAAGAAATGAAACTGGAAAAAAAAACCCAAACAAATGTCGAGTGGTCACATAATAGTTATACTGATAAAACCCGTGAAAACCTATTTTGTGAAGAAAGAAACCTTGGTCTGCATCACACAATGGAAAGCAGGAGTAACTCTACCAGAGTCTGAAATACATGGCATGGATCAGGCTCCGCGGTTTCTTTAAACACAGCAGATCCGAGGCTCTGCGGAGGGTGTGCGGCAGCTCCTCACCTTGCCAGGGAGTGGGAGCTCTGTGCCTCCCCAGGCGCCGCCGATGCAGATGATGGCAGTGAGGTGGAACAATTGCTGAGGTACCTGTCTCATTCTATCTGTGCTAATGGAAGAGCTCAGGTGTTAATGGATTATGACACTGCATACATGTACCACAAAGTAGGCAGCAGCTGCTCAAAAATTCACACTGGATCTGTAATATCCTGTTAAAAAGGGAGAAAGAGATTCAATGCATACCTGACCAAAAGTCGTCATTTAAAGGTTTTCAGCCTTAATGTATGCAAATACGCACCGATGGAGAGACAATGCACTTACATTCTTAAAAAAATTCTATTATCTCCTGGGCTTTTAATGGGATTTTTTCCTTTCCAGTCAGTGGGGAGTGGAGGATGTCCTTACACAGAGCCTGTATCTGCACTGCACAAAGTAGCTGCTTTTCAAAGCATCGAAGATGCTCAGTAAGAATGAAGTTAACTTTCCAGATGCAAACACTACATGGATATTTTTAGAAGCTAATGTTTGGAATAACCTTTACCTGGAAACTGGAAAAGTTCTCAACCATTTCTGCAGTTCCCAACCTTTCAAATGAGCTAAGTAAATCCACAGCCCCACAGGTCTGGCTGCCTCGAAGCTGTGGGTTTATTCACGATTTTAACATACATAGTTGTCTACGTGTACATTCAGGCACTCAGGGCTCTGGGTCAACCTCTTCCGCAACACATTGTGAGGCTTTCTGCATACATCTCTAGCTACTGCACAAAAAGGAGATGTGGAAAAAAAAGTTGCAAATCTTAAATAGATCTAGTTTCAAAAACTGCTAAATCCCCGAGGTTACTCACAAGTTTAAATTACATTTCTCTTTGGGCATGGAGTGCTCAGACCTGTCTAGGAAATGTCTGAATTTCAATGGCATTGCTCAGAAGAGCTGAATTTACTTCATTGTATCTAGACCCTATCTTCAGATTACATCAGATAATTCCTTGAGGATTTGCTCTGTTGTTCAGTAGAAGGCTTCTGATACAAAATTTATCTGGAATTTTGCCTGAATTCAGATATCTTTTACCTCAGGCTTGTGAATTGCAAGGTCTGGCTTGCTGTGGGTCTCCTGCCACAAGTCCAGTCCAGAAACTCTCAGTATAAAAATATAAATTCATTTTACAGTAGGAGCACAAGGAATTAATAAAATAGACATTTTTGGAACATAGTTGTTCCTGGATCTCAAACATAATTTTACTTTGTAGGAAATAATGATGAGCTTGGTGCACTTGGGGACAAACAGAAGTAGAGAGAGGAGAATGCACTTTTAAAGCACTTGTCTTCAGGCGATTTTTAAAAATGTACCTACTGTGTGAGGTAAGAATTTATTTCCATTGAAAAATTTTACTCTTAAAATGTCTGAAACATCACTTATAAAAGGAACATGTTTGAGACCACATTAACCTGCAGTTAAGAGCACTGCCACCAGACCATCTGCTACCATATCTTCAGGTATGGTGTGTGCAAGGCTGATTTGTATTATTTAATTGTTACTCCTTCCTTAGTATGTTAGGACTAAAGATATCACTCTGCTCCTGCCTGGCTGTACACTAGGACAGAAGAATGACAAGCAGAAGGGAAAGCTAGATTGAACTGTTCACACTTCTCATGCTGAGGAAACCACAGTAACTCATGTTATTTCAGAACATCTCTACAAGCAGGCAGCAAGACAATACAGATTGGCTTTTGAATCCAGACCAAATCTTGTTAACTTCAATCCCAGGCAGATCTGCAGTTTAATCTGGATAAAGATCACACAGCAATATACAAACAGCAGCATTATTCTGCCTGTAATGAATTTATTTTTATCTCTACTATTACTAAAATCAGTAAAAATTAATTCTGCTCTTTTTTTTTGAAACCTGTTTCTTTCCATGTATACTTCTTCTGTGAATTACTTTTTTTTTAAAAAAATTATCTGTTCTTTAAATTTTCTCTGGCTAGTTTTTTCTGTGGTGGTAGCAGTGACTCCACACACAAATGAAGTTCATGTGCAGGGCACTACCATACAGGCCACACATGCTTATAGCACAGAATAATTTTTAAGACTTAATTTCAGGACATTATGAAGTAAAAAGGGATAATATTACTGTTACCATTTCCAGTACAAACGAGACAATGTATCTGGAATGATCTATTATCTAGTCAGCAGTACATGGCATAAAGCACTTCAAATAAAAGCCTGATGGTGTTACACTGGATGAGGAAGTCTGACTAAAGACTGGCAAACAAGTTGCTTTTAAAAATGGATGGTGGCTGAAGTAAAATGAACAGCCTGAGAAAGTTAATTGCAGCTATTTTCTAGTTTATTATTAGCAATTCCTTTGGTCTGAAGTTAAAAATTGTTGTATTTGATAAATGCCAAATCTTACATGAGGCAACTCCAGCACAACCTCGAGACTATGAAAATTGGACAGGTGAAATGAATTGCATCACCTGCCAGCATGAGGAAACTGTGGCTCTGCCCAGGTCAGCACCTGCCCATTGCAGCACAGGCTGCTGGGCTGGTGGCAGACATAGGGAGCCTAGGAAAACCAGCAGGCTATTTCAGGGGTGGAAACACATATCTGGAGGGCCACAGGGCTGATAATTACTGTCACAGTTCTTTTCTATAGCAAGACCTGAACAATCTTCAGAGAGCTCTCCCCAAAACAGAAATGATATGAAGTAAAAATGCCTTTGGTAACTGTCCTGTTCCACACAAAGAATATCTTCATTTTAGGCAACCTAAAGGGAATATTTATGTTGGATTTCTTCTTCTGCCTCACTTAACCCATCTGTGCAGTTTGCTCATTAATTTAAGGGAAGCCAAAAGGGAAACATTCATTACCCTTCTGTCCTCACTACCTTGTCCTATTCATTGCCCCAGGGCACGGCTGTTAGCAGCAGAATGGAAACCACCACTAGGGCCTTGACTTCCCCAAAACTATTTTCAGCAAATAGCCAAGAGCTGACAATATGCATATTTCCATGCTTCTCCCTTCCACCCTCCCTGCTGCTGGAGATTTGTATGGGTGTGGCTCCACTCTCTGCCCCAGATGGCCTGGCCACCCCCTCTGTGTGGAGGGCAGACCCTAGTGCAGCAGGGACTGCCCCTCACTCTGGCCATGCTGCTGTGCCAGGTCGTGCTGCAGGCTGCAGCCTGGCCACCCTCCCTCGCCCACGGCCATCCTGATGACAAAGACCAACTGAAATAAAGTTGCAGCATTAGGACTAGTCCTTTGGAGCACATTTTTGTCTTCCATCAACATGGTACACGTGGTTGCTTAAAGAGTCTTGTCATGAGGGACAACCTTGCGTCCCCTTTGCACCTAGTGTGTGTCTGTGAGGCACCGCAGTGGGAGCATTTCCTTTTGCTCTCATAAAGCAATCCTCAAGAAGCTGGTACTGAAATATCTTTAAAGAGATACTGAGACATAACAACATTTAGAGCTCTAAGGAAATTTAAGCAGTTTAGAAGGATTATTGCATACTCCCACCCTTTTCACAGATCCTGATTTAGGATCCTGATGACTGTGTCAATTTGTCACAAATCCTGAATTAGGAGCCTGTCAACTACACCAATTTGTTGTGAATGAGTAGTTTATGTTGCTTAAAAAATCACTAAGGTATTACCAAAAGTAGGTTTAATATAAATGTGTAGAAGTTCAACAGTAAGGTTCACTCTCCTACTGGATGAAATGGATGAAACACAAAAAGAAAATCAAGTTAGAACTGAGCCAGAATGATTTATAGAGAGCCTGAAGAGGCAAGAGGGTAAGGGAGACCCTCCCACTGGGATACAAGGTTCAGAGTGGATTTCCTACCTTTCAAAACTCCTGATGGAGCTTAGGCACCGCTGAGTCCAATCTTAGTCTCAGACCTAGACAACGGCTTATGTCTAATAGAAGGAATACAAGGAGTAAGGAAATCCTCCCATTGAGTCATGAGGTTCAGAATAGGCCCCCCCCTTGCTTTCTGAACTCCTGATACAGCTCAGGTGCAGCTAGGTGCAGTCTTAGTCTCAAACTTGCTCAGTGGTTTATACCTAAGGGATTTAGCAACACTTATCATCAATTAATTCACAAAGTGATTCAACAGAATTTACTACAACAGTGACTTAATCACAGATCCAAGATGGCAGAATTCCTACTACAACACTGATTTAAGGGGAACTTAAAAATATTAGAAACAGTTAATGGAAGACTCTAATAAGCAATATGAGGGAATGCCACTCTAATAAAGCTTTCATATTCTAAAATGCTATTAGAAGTACATACTTCTTCTTTTACTTGTGATCTAAATGCAGACACTTACCAGTTAAGGCACTTGTTTCAAAAAGCAAATAGCATCTATTAAGGGAACTCTTGCTGCCATGGTACAGAATTCAGATGTTGGGACTGCTGAAGGGTTGAGACCACTACAACACAGAACATACTTCTCAGACCTCTGCTACTCTTTTAAGCCTACTGTGAAAACAAGACCCTGTTCAGTGTGCAGCTGAGTACTGCATGCTTTGATTCTGGCAAGGAAACCTCTGATGCTTTCTGACTAGTTGACTTTCTAAGGCATTTTTTAGATTTCAGCTCTTAACTGCTCATATTAAATGCCTCAGGAAATGTTTGCTTTACAGACTCTTTCTCAATGTCCTGCTTTTCTTGAGCTCACACCATCTGATACAATTATTTGAAGGGAAGCAGGCAAAGAGAGATTTGTAATAGTGTTCCAGTACTCCCTGTCTTGATGTACCTCTGACATGCTCCTCAAAATGTGGTGTAGTCCTCTGTCTGGCTTTTGTAATTTCTTAGTAAGGCAAGGAATCAATAAATCAGAAATGGCCAAGACAGAGTGTTTGCTCCTTTGTACACTGTTCCTGTAAACAGAACTGAGTATCTGAACATGGTTTTCATGCAGAGTAAGGCTTAGTTTAACTGTCTCTAAAAGAGAGAGACTGATTCTAAACTGACTCTGTCATTGCTTCTTTTCTATGCAGTGGCTGATCCTCTTTTTTTTGTGTACCCCAAAAGAAATTTATACACATTTTTGCCACAATAAAAATGAAAGATGATTTTAACTTCTTAACCCAGAGGGTGGTTGGTCATTAGAACAGGCTCCCCAGGGAAGTGGTCACAGCACCCAGCCTGACAAAGTTCAAGAAGTGTTGAACAATGCTCTCAGGTACATGGTGAGATTCTTGGGGTTGTCATATACAGGGCCAGGAGCTGGACTTGATGATCCTTCTGGGCCCCATTAAACTCAGGATATTCTATGATTCTAACCAATAGTGAGATCTCAAACTGTTTTATCCCCTTTTCCTCATTCCAGCTCATCATATGTCTTAGTGTAAAAGATGACTAGAATATGGAAGCTAACACCTCTGGAACAACCAGCTCTGCCTGTGCATCAAGCTGCCAGAAGAAACTGTTCCAAACTTGTAAGCACTGTTTAATTCTGTACAATTCCGATAGATAGGCCTCTTTTCAGACAAGGTTTTCAGTGGCAGCTGGGTAGGCAGAAAGAGATGAGAAACATTGCAAGAGAAAGAGGAAGATAAAGTTGGTATATATCACACAGCACAGCTTCTCAGTCATTAAGTGGGAGCACACAGGGTGAGGTGAAAGCATTGGAAAAAATGTAGGTTTAAACATGTAACAATAGAAGTAGGAACAGAATTCCCCCTTCTCCCCATTTATAGACATAAAAGGAGTACAAGCTTCTCTGGAAGCATTTTTTTAAGACTGTCAGAGACTATTCTTAGTAACTCAGGGAAAAGGCTGTGAATGATCCAAGTTACAGAAAGAACAGTTATCAGTGGAAAGAGTACATGAGTTTCTCCACTGGCAAACTGTTGCTGTTGGCTCAAAGATTTTTTTGTTTTCTTCACTCAAAATGATGTACTTCCTCTTTTAACTAAGAACTCTTCTAGAAAAATAAACACCAGGTATGATAATAGGCGTTTGTCATTTGACTTCTGCTGAGTAATAAAGCACAATGTTCAAAATTGAATCAAATAGTTTATCTTTGTAGAAACTGATGTCAACATGCAAACTAATACACTTAAAATATTATTAGATTGTAGCTATTAAGTATCACAATCAGTCCTCTGCTACTTTGCTAAGCAGAGGTCATGGAAATAGTAATCAGAAATTCTGGATTGTATCTTACAATAAAGCAAACATCATCCATAAAGCTTTTTACATGCTCCTGCAGTGCAGTGTCTTTTAGGAAAGAAAAGAATCTCCTTTTCTCACAATGCTTGGACCCACAGCATAGAATGGTTAGGTCAAGCTGGGATGATCAGGAACTTTTATGCTTGTTACCCAGAGCCAGGCTCTGGCCATTGATGCGCAGGGACAGAGTAAAAGAAAGGGTCACAAGCTGAAACATGGCAGGTTCCTCCTCATCCCCAGGAGATACTCTTACTGGGGTGGCAGTAGGGTGGTATGGGAGGGGTGTGACTGAGCTCAGCAACAGGTTGCCCTAAGACCTGGTAGACTCTTGTTCTGCCAATTGACGGGTACAACAGAAATGACAGACATCAACGCAAAGAACAGGCTTATTTTACTATCTGTGTTTAAAATATTAGGAAAATGAGTAATAGAATTACATCTACAGTTAGTTTACTAAGCTTGAATACAAACAGCAGAAACAACACAGTAAGCAAGGTAATGAACCTAATCATTGCTGCATAGAGGAAAGAATAGTGATTAAGAGACATACATCACCAATTGTCCTAACACTTTATCATCATCCAGATCCGCAGTCGCTGGAGAGACCCTGGTTGCACGAGGATTTGGAGTGTCTTTCGTGGCAATTGGGAAATCCTACGCACTGCGTCCACTCTTAGGTGAGGCGCCCAAAGTCACTGCAAGAGGGTCCAGCCTTTAGAGGCCAAAGAAACAAGCTAAAAATAACTTGCAGTTTTTTTGTGGTTTCGTGCGGAGAACATCTAGTGGTACTCCAACTAAGCGAGGCCAGGGCTTGGCCAGAGCGCAGGGCACGGGTGGTGCAGTTTCCTACCATATATTGTTGACAGGGCATGACCTTGGAAATATTTCACAGCAAATATACAGCCTGTACCAAGGATGTCTATCAGATATTTTGCAGAAGGCGGCATGGCCTTGGACAAATATACAGCCTATACAAAGGCTATCTACATCCACGTCCGACATTAAGTGGTTTAGGTAACTAACACAAAGAAGCACCATTCACAAGGAGTACATCTATATGGCAAATCTGTCTTGGGCCTACTGTCCAAGCCCTAGCATTTCAACTGTTCATCCTTGGAGACCTGTAAAAGCCATCTGGACAGGGTCGTGGAGAACCTACTCTATGCTTCTTGAACGTGCTTGAGCCATGGAAACCCTATCCAGTCCCACAGATTTGTGAGGATCCAAGCAGCTAAGCAGATTACTAACCATTTCCTCTTTTCCTAGGATTTCAGGGGGCCTATTTGGCTTCCTATCTCTTTGGCTATCAGTTCTAGAGGCCAGGTGTCCTGAGGACAACCTCTCCTACTATTCAAAACTGAGGCAAAGAAGGCAACCTCAGCCTTTTCCTCATCGTGGGTCACTCTGTTCCCTCCCATGTCCAGCAAGGAATGAAGATTTCCTTGCCCTTCCTTTTGTTATTGATGTATTTATAGAAACACTTCTTGCTACCCCTGACAGAAGTGGCCACATTTAATTCAAATTGTGCCTTTGTCTCTCTAATTTTTTTCCTACATGACCTGACTATATCCCTGAACTCTTCTTGAGTAGCCTGCCCTGCTAACTCATCAGTTATTTTTAATTTTGCCAAAATAAAACGCAATACTTTATTCTACAGTGTACTTACAGAACGGCAAAACACAGTTTTAATTTTTTTTCCTTTTATTTTAATCCACAACTTAAGGCATTGTTCTGACATACACTACAGCAGACAGCTGGAATGCAGTGCAAACCAAGAAAGGCCTGTGTGATCTCAGCTGTATATACAAAGGTCTTAAAAACTGGAAGCAGAGTTTTTAAGTGTGTTAGGCTTAAGGTACTCAACGTGAGTCGAGTGGAGATGTTAACATATCATTCCAGTTCACACAGTAGATATTGTACTGTAACACTCCCATAACAATGACACAACACATCTATGTTCTTGGGACAGTTCAGCTTTAGGTGCCACTACACAAGTCTGAGAAATCTGAGAAGCTGAAACAATTACAGAGTAAGGAAAATCTTACATTGGAGTTCTTCAGTACTTTTCTTCTGAAGCCTGGAGGATTCAAGCATACAGTTACAGACTCAGGCATGCTACTCTTTTTAAACAGAAAAATGAAGGCAACTGTAAATTTCAACTTTTTCACTTAAAAAAAAATAATCTTGCTTGCAGAAATTTCCATCCATTTCCATCCCCTGAGAAGAAAAGGTGCTGGACTTGCTCAGGACTGAATTTCTGTTAAGTATTCTTAGTTTCAAAACAGGTAAGGACTGAATGCATCTTGAACACCAAAAAATCAGTCACACCTGTCAATTAAAGGGAGTAAGATAAAAATCTTGCTTACCTTTCAAAAAACAACCATTTTGATTTTAAAAAAAAAGCAGTATCATCTAGTACATAATACCTATTTAACACTATATTACATGGTATTAGAAGGACATATTTAAACCAGATTTCAGGCAATTTTTAAAAATTACAGTAAAGTCACCTTAAACATTTCTCCTGTACGTCTCCCCCTCTCCCACCTTGTGGTTATCATACATGTCCTTTGGGGATATGCAAGATGCCAAAATCAACAACAACTCTTATCTAATAATGCTCAGACTCTAATGGGGAGGGAGAAAATAGGGTTACATTATGTGCCACTATGTTTACATAATGCTTACTTAAGAATGCAAAAACCAGTCCTACTATGGTACCTGTGGGTTGTTGTATTTATCAATCTTTCAAATGACACTAGCTTTTAAAATACTGTATGCTGATCCATGTCTAGCAAGGTTAAAGTGAAGACCAGACACTTACTTCTGCAGGCATTCCAGCTCTGAGGGCAGGTCACAGCCTACATAAACCCTATTTGTTAAACTGTATTCTAACAGTGCATAAAAACAAGGATCCTACAAGAGAAGATTAATATTTAATTGAAATCATGCTGCTCTGGGAAGTGAATTTTCAAACAAGTTAACATGGCACATGAATGCAAGAGATTTTATAGGACCTCTTCCAGAAACAGAACACTACAAATGGTGCAAACAGTGTAACAACACAGGAGGAAGATAAACAGAACACTACAAATGGTGCAAACACAGTGTAACAACACAGGAGGAAGACAGCTACAGGTGCTGTAAGTTTGAGATTTTACATGTAGGTGTGGGGGACTAAACTTTCTATTCACACCTGGAATACTGCTTTTCTTCTTATTTGTAAAGTCAGACACAACATCAGATATTAAGAAAAGCTCAATTTGTTCCTGTGAGGGGACCATGCATGGGTTCAAAAGGAGAGTGCCTCCCTGGCAGGCTGTTGCATTAACTGGGAACAATCACTTCTGCCACCCTCCAGTTAAAAAATGAAGCAACTGCATTTGTGAACACTCTGATTGTGAAAGGTTACTCAGTACATGCTTACTGGATTTGCAGGTTGCTGGAGAACTTCAGCACTGAGGCTCTGACCTCTTCTAGAGCCAAAAAGGAGATAGGACCCTGTATGCACACAGCAGCTTTACAATTTACCTTGTGCTTGGAAATCTACTGTGTGTGTGCTGGAACTGTCCATACTTATAGGAACCTATGGAATTCAGATAATCCCAAATGCATATTGAGAGCAACATATGAATTCTTAACATAATCTGATGCTCCCTCACATCAGATTAACCCCCAAAATCATTCAATTCCTGTGGAAAGTAACACATGTGATTCAAAGATATAAACCCAAAACTTACTTTCACAAGAACATGAGGATTTCCCACGACAATCAGCAAAGCTTTTGCTCTAGTAATTGCTACATTAAATCTCTTTGGGTTAGAGAGAAAGCCCAAATGGTATTTTTCATCATCAAAAAAGCATTCCTGGGAGCGCACCTAAAATTAGTTATGGATAATTTCAGAAATAGAATAATGAGAACACAACTTACCTAGTCATAGTGTTACTTAAACATAGTATTTCCTTACTGCAACAATCCATTCAGCTGAATGACAATTCTGTAAGCTGCCTTCAGCAGTCTCACCAATGTGCTTTGACCTGTCTTAGGAAAACAGCCAAAGCAACTAGTGTGCTACAACTACTGCCCATTAGATTTTCACCTCTGTTTCATCTATATTTGAACCTGTCTGTGATAACAGAAAATTTTCATGACCTAAATAATTAGTTATTATAAAAAGAAGCATAGTATATTCCTAGAACTACTTTAAGAGTGATACAGGGCTGGATTGAAAAGCTATGATATGATGCAGAACCAAGTAAATGTAGTACCACTGCCCTCGGGGAAAAAAAAAAGGCAAGAAAACTCCACAGACTCTTCCCCCGAGCCACTAAAAACCTCAAAAAAATCTATACCTCCATCCCCACATCCACCCTGCTTTCCAGTGTTTTGGTAGTTTATGTAGCTGTTTTATCCTCCCCTCTCCTGAAAATCCTATGTACTCCTGTTAAAAGTGATTTGGTACTGGTCATATCTGCAGCTACACATTCCTGGTCTATACTTCCTTTGCTCACTTGCCTTACATACCATTACTCAGACTTACACAGGCTCTGCTTGTACTCAACATTCTCTAACAGCCCTGAGGGCTCCTGGGTCATGAACACCTAAACAAAGTGCTCCAAACACTTAAATATTTCACTTTATTTAGATACTTCATGTACCACACCCATGCTACCATTTGAAAAAAAGCAAGCATATGCATACTTTTTTTGGTATTCTGAACTGGATTTCATGCTGTATGATACGGAGGGTCCATAATGCCCACCAGAAAAGTCTAAACCCTTAAAGCTGCACTGGTATCACTTGCTGATGTTCCAAATGATAAGACCAAGTTTCCCAACTGTCCAGCACAGATTATTTCTTCTGTCCAGGAGTTCAGCATGCCTACAACAGTGTACATTTGATGGATGCTGTCTCAGACCATAAAGGGTCAGTATTGCACATTGTGGTGCAAGAAGTTGCCCAAAATAAAGCCTCAGTAGCTATCAGCTGAGGTATCAGCTGTTGCTTACACTTCTCAACTCCACATTGATTTCTCCTTAGAAGCACAAAGAAAAGTCTCCTGTCAAGCGCCCAAGCCAACAACCTCATATGCCTGAGAAGAGAAGGGACAAAAAGTAGGGCATGAAGAAGCTGCTGCAGCTTTTCCCTTTATGGGGCTTTCATGTGAATTCAAACACCCAGGATGTGTGCAGATGTAGCATTTAGAGAGGGGGAACTGGCATATGCCTACATCTAACCTCAGCTGAACATCAGAGTCTCCTGAAGCCTGATATCTCAGCTTCCGCAGATTCCACACCCTAGCCAACTGCCTAAAAGCTATGACTACATCTTTGTCATCTGCAGTAACATGCATTGAGATATTTTTGAAAAAAACCAGACATCTGCTGAAGCATATTGGTTATCAAGTGTGCAAAAGAAGGTGAAAGGCTTCCAAATAACATCCCCTCACTGCTGCCCCAGTACTCTGCCCCACAATCCTCTCTTTTCCCCTTTTGTCAAATGCAAGGGTAGGCTCAACACAAATCCAGACATCATCTTCCCAAACTCATGCACCTTCCTCCCACATTTTTTGAACGCTCCCTTTTGTCAGTCCTTTTCTGAAAGACTCATTTATTGCACAGAATGACATGAAATACCTCTGCATTTTCATTACTATCTAGAAATTTCTCGTGATGCAGTTTATGCCCCTACTCCTTCATGTTTACATAGAAATGGACACCCAAAACCAACTCTGAACCAAGGAGGTGATGTACTGGTAGAATGACAGCCTGTGACTAGTGTACTGCTGAAGCAGAAACATAGCATGGATTATTTTTTTTCCCCTTGACCTTTTTTTTCAAGGCATTTGACAACTTCAGATTCAAAAAGCAAGCACCTAGAGAAGACCTTTACCAACATCCCTGAAATAAAACCAATGCAGCACTTAAAGTGCACCATCAAGATAGTCATGAAAGACTACCAAGTGATCTCCTACCAACTCAAAATAACTAAATCATGATAAAGGGCTTCTAGGCACAGCCAGCAGTGGTATCTGGGAAGTTGTCAGCTGTATACCATTAAGTGATGATTGTCAAAGTGGAGGAGAAAATGGAAGGGAAGAACCTACATCACCTTTAAGTCAAACAGCAATTACTTTTTAAACTGGGTAACACTGTTCTCTCTAATATTCATAATGCATCCAGTTTCCATTCTCTCTAAGCATACCAGTGAAAGGCACCTTGTCTGCAAGAAACTCTACGATAAATTCAGCTAAAGTATCTACAGAGTTTTAAGGTTTACCTCGAAGACACACACGCTGTACTGTTTCTATGCACTTAAAAATAAGCTCTGCTTTAAAATGCTGTGTCAGAATGACAAAAATATTGCTTTTACATTTTTTTTAAAAGGCCTGTACAGAAAAGGAACTAGAGCATTAGATACATGTAAACACTCTCCACAGGACCACAATAAATATACGTACGGTTGACAAGATGATAACTGTCTGCTCCTGCCCTTGAAACTCTTCTACTGAGCCAACTTTAATGCCTGCCAAATCAATACTTCTGAGAAGAAGTTTAATTTTTTCTGCCTACCAAGAAAAAACCAAACAAAACATTTTTGAAGGAATTGAGTTTTATATTTGAGAGTGGATTACTTTAAAACCAAAACCAGACCACATATATAAGTGCATGTTGTAACACGGAAATGTCAAAAGGAATGCCTACACCAAGCTTAGCCATCATCCACTAGTAAGGTCTTAGAATAAACCAGTAACTTTTTCTGAGAAGTATCCCACTTACTATATATGATTTCAACAGAAAGCAGTAGATTTTTAATAATCCAGATTTTAAGGAGAATAATAACTTGGATCCATAAACCCTCTTCTTCAATGTGCCTCATACCCAAAACCATGCATGCCATGGATGTGTTAGGGCAAGCAGCTTCCCCTAGCCCCTCAAGACAACTGTACAGATTCCACCTTTGCTTGCCAGATGCATCATGCAGAATGAAAGACAGAGGTGAGGTATGATCTTAAGTACCCTCTCAAAAAGAGAAGGAGACCAAGGAGTCTCACACACTGGGATACTGGCACATGTGGGATCAGTATACTGCTATCTGTTAAAAGCTGCTTGGAGATTATACCTTAAGTGCTCCAATAAATTTAAGAAGAAATCATGCCTGGCTAAGCTGAGGTTTACAGTCAGAAAGTGCTTTCCATGAAGTTGGTAAGAAGGACTGGAGCATCTCCCCTATGAAGACAGGCTGAGGAAGTTGGGGCTGTTCAGCCTGGAGTAGCAAAAATTGTGTGGAGACCTCATAGCAACTTTTCAGTAAATATCTGAGAGGCCTACAAGGGGGCTGGAGAGGGACTCTTCATTAGGAACTGCAATGATAGGAGAAGGGGCAACGGGTTCAAATTGAAGGAGGGGAAGTTTAGGTTAGATAGTAGAAAAAACTTTTTTTACTGTAAGGGTGGTGCAACACTGGAACAAGTTGCCCAGGGAAGTGGTGGCTGCCCCAAACCTGGCAGTGTTCAAAGCCAGGCTGCATGAGGCCTTGAGCATCCTGGTCTAGTGGGGAGGTGTCCCTGCCCATGCTGGGGTTGGGGGGTGGGACTACATGACCTTTAAGGTCCATTCCATCCTCTACAATTCTATGATTCTAAGCTTTTCTGCGATACAAAGTGAGTTTCCTGAAGAGGATGTTTCTATCACACACCTGCATCACAGGCAGGTGAAGGACACAATCATATTAAACCACGTGAAATCATAATTCAGGGAGTGTAAGAGTTTCAGTCACTTCAATACTAGATATAAATATTTTAAAAACAAACACTAACTGTAAACATGGTCAGGTGCACACACCTGACCAGTCGGATCAGTACAAGCAGAGCTTTAATTTGCAAGTGAGAATTCTTCCAGAGGGCTTGGTATTTTCCACACATCTCATAGTGTTTTCCCCAAGCCATGCATGCAAGGTTATGAATTCTGAGATGTGAACACCAAGAACTGTGTGCACACTGGCCAGAGCCTACTCTGAACTGAAAGAGGATTTAATTTTATTTTAAAAATGAAAGTAAACATCAGATGCTTAACACACCTGAATATAAATACGAAATAAAGCACAGCATTTGAAGTTGATAGCCAGCATTCTTTACAGGTTTAAATAGCAGCACAAATGTCAAGTCCGACTACAGGACAGCTAAAAAGTCACAATTCCTCTAGTCTCCTCAAGCTGTAACAAGGTGACAAGTCACCTACTTCATGACATTTTCCTTTTGCTCCACTCCTCAGTGCAGAGAGTGAGAGAACGTAATTGCTCTTCCAGTTGCTGGCTAATAAATTCTTGACTTGCACTATTTACTTCCAAGAACCAGAAAATCTGCTTCTGTCTACAAAACTGTCTCTTTAATAATTTCCTGATTTTTAAAACAAACCCAAAAAGGATCATGAAATTACTGCTATCTTTCTGCAGGTTTAGATTTCAGAGGCAGCATCATTAATGACTGATAATACACTGTGTCACATGACACGCAACAGTGAAATGTTGAGATATGCCTCCTGCTTTAGCAAACCATGGCCACAAGATGAAATACAACAACTCTGAAGCTCTTAAGACATTAGACCTGTTAAACACACCTGTTTACGATATGGTGTAATCACTCCAATATCAGTCTCTGACACTGCAGCATTGTCATTTTTAGCAAGGTGGCAACAGTATTTCATTACTTGAACTGCTTCAGCTGGATTAAACCATGAAGGACTGTGACCTTCACGTGCTTCACTGCCCTGTATGAGGGGAAAGGAAATGAGATGATGGAGATCAGGTGCAGAAATCACTACGTATTTATTAACAGATTATTCTTATACATACAAAATGCAAAAATAAGTCATGGAACGTTATATACAACTTCTGTCCCTCTCTATACACCCTTTCCAATGTACAAGTATCACCTCACATTTTATATTGGATATTTTAAACTGGAGAGTTTATATGACAAGAGTACTTCTGAGCATGCAACGAAAGAGTTAAATCTCAACTCAAAATAACATGTGTTAGCAAGTTGGTATCTTGTTTTCGTGGAAGGTGGAAAGTTCAAAACCAATCCTCTCCAACCAGTGGGTATTAACACTTTTGGCTAACTTCATGGAAGACTAAAGAAAAACTTTTTTTCTCAACGTACTATTTTTTCCTTTGACTAGTTAAGCCTAAATAATCCTTCAGTTCTAGAGGTTTGTGTTCATTTTCATGTAGCAAACTCTCATCAAAAGCAATCTAAAGGCAGCTGACTGTAATTCCAACTTGGTCATCTGCTATGAATTTAAATTTGCACCAAAATGTCTGCATAATACACTTCAGTGGACAGCTACTTAAGTTCTTAGCAAACACTTGACTTCAGTCATTGTTTCTAAAACCAGATGGTCAGGAAGTCACACTACTTGCAAAAGAAAGTTTACTCTTTTATCATATAATTCCTAAAATTCATTCCAAAGAAACCTTTTCTACAACATCAGCAAACTGCTATCAGACTTTCAGTATACGAACATTTTACATACCCTTATTCCATGAAAAATTAATGGGAATCCCTTCCTGGGCAATTTCCCCCAGTTCAACAAAGAAGTTACTACTGAAGCATCTGCACAAACTTCTAACTCCTTGTGATAAAACAATTTGGATGGCAAGGCAAGCAATGCAGAATGTGACCTGTAGTTCTTTATGAGTTTTGTGATCTGCAAAGACAAAACCCAAACCACATAACTGAAACATCAGACTCAGAACACAGCTCCCAGGCAGACACTACCATAGCATCATCTAGCATTTAGTGTTCCTAAAGCTGCCAAAGAACTGTACTCAAGGTAAAAACTGCAGGTGTGATCTTCTAGAAGTAAAAACTAAATAAAAGCAGTTTTTCTAAGGACTGTCTCTTTCACCTCCAAAGGAGAAACAAAAAGAATTGAACGTATATGACAGATGAATTGGTCATTCTCTGATTTCTTACAACATTTGACCTATAGGTACATGCTCTTTTTTTCTTATGAGTCAGATTCTTTTCATGGGGTTTTCATGGACATAACCTGTTTTTTTGAGGAAGTCCTGACAGACAAAAAGGAGCATCAGAACAGCTGACAGAAACTGGCCTTAGGTACCTGAAATGTATTTGTCTTGAAATGAATAATTCCAGACAGTAATAACCAGCTTGAAAAAAAAATTTCCTGTAAAAATGGTAACAGGATATTTCAGTCCAAAGGTATCCTTGGAGCCCTCACACTTTCTGCTCTCTCACTATGCCAATTCCCCTTAAGCACTGCATATGGAACACAACAACTAGAGTTTGCTGTAACAGATTTTAGGAGGAAGCATGACAGGTTTTTCAGCAGGCTGAACCTGACCTAAAGCCTAGGTCCAAACACCCTCACTTTCACCCTTAAGCCTGCCTTCAGATTTCCTCCCTTCTCTGGGGATGATGACCACCCTTACTTGGTCATCTGGTCACCTTTTGCTCTCAGTTCCCACGTGAATAGGAAGGCATCTTAGGAAGTTTAACTTTAGCCCTGTATTTCAGATTCTGACAGTAACTTGGAGCAGATGAAGCATCTGTGCTTGTTTATATACCATGCTACCTCTGCCACTTAGCATAGACTTTATTTACTTCACCACACAGGAGTTCTGGGAAGCTATCCTTCAGAGCAGAGATGATAAAAAAAAACAAGAATGTTTTCTTTTTTTTCCCCTTCGTGAAACATGATGTTTGCAAAATTAATCTTTAGATAGAAAGAGGACACTGTCTTTTTAGGTTAAAAAAAGAAGTTGTACTTGTTCATTTGTGGAAAATTAAGTTATGAAGTTATGGTAAATGTAGACAGTGGAGATGAAAGGGAATTTTAAGATATTTACAATTGTGCTTTGTGCACCGTATTTGACTTACTCTGTTTAAGAACAGCGAACACCCTCAAAGAAGGGTTTTAAGATGTTGGAGGGCTCAGCATCCTTACTATTCAGAGTATATGCACAAAATATTTAGATTTCCTAGAGAAGTAATGCTCAAGCAGGGCTTATCACTAAGCATCAAGGAACAAAACATTGGTAAGGAAACAGCAGGAACTCCCATTTCTCCTTTTCTGATTGAGATGAAAAATGTTAATGGAAAGTTTTACTCACCAGCAAAGGATTATATGCTCCACAGGCACCAAAAGCATCCTCATCTCTCAGATATAGCTCTCTTGATATCAGCCTTTCCAGCAAGGACACATTTAATCCAAAATTCACTGCAAGTTTAGATTTTATTACTGGCCCTAACTGCTTTGGATCTCCAACAAGAACTACCTGTATAAGCATTAAAAAATAAAAAAAAAAAATCCATCCTACATTAAACAGTTGTTACTGAAACAACATTTTAATGACACACATTTCAGAATTCAGAGATCAATTCATATCAAGTATTCTGCTTTCCTGCAAACATTGTTTGCAAAGAAGAGTCAGCCCCAGGACAGAAGTATGCTGTTGTCTTAAACTAAGAAAGCATATTTTTATTTTGACATATTCCACACCCTGATCCAGTCCCACCAACACAGACTTGTTTTGGATGTAAAACAAGTCGTTTACATGTGGGGAATGGCTATTGAGCATATGAATAAGACCTATTATAAACACTAAGAATTTCATACTCATTACCAGAAAATGGCTGCTTGCATTCTACAGCATTCACAAAAATGAAAACAACAGCTCAACTTCTTTCCTTCCAGCAAATGATGCTAAGAGAGCTACCTGTCCATCAGCTTCTGAAATCAACCCAATAGGAATCAGGCTCTCTGGTTCACTTGCTTGTCCTGCTTCATCCAGAATCACATGAGTGAAGTGTCCAAATCTAGAATTAAATAAAATTAACCCAAAACAGGGCTGTTTTCAGATTAGTTCGTTCTGCCACCCTGTGGTTGACCTCAACAATTCTGTTAGCATCCCTGTCAAGTGTGCCAGGCAACTCCACACACACAGAGCAAAGATGGATATTTTCAACATGAAATATAGAAAAACAACCCTGTAACTTTAATTTTTCATCTTGTACCTCAGTTACATACTCTGATATGTACAACCACTGGTTACCTTAATTAAAACATTGTTTGTACCAAAGTTAAGATACTTAGAAAAGCTTTCCTTGTTCTCAATTTCCTTCAGCTACTGAATTAGAACAATGCACTGGGTGTAGCAAAGTCAATCCCCGAGCTTGGTTTCTACCAAACAACTCAAGACTGTAAAAGGACACTCTGAAGCCTTACTAAGTTAAAATCAAAGTCAGAGAAATCTCTAGTTAACAGCCTTTGACAAGGTACTTGTTTACAGTCAGTAAAAGTGACTTGATAAAAACCAAATACAACATAATTTTTAGCGTTAAAATCATTTTGAGTCAAAGCGATTGTCAACAGCAATATAATTTCCAAGGCTCCCACTGGTCGCGGAGAAGTTATTGTGTCAAAAATTTTAAACATTACTAAAGATAGTTCTTAAATTTACAATGGAGAAAGTTTAAGCAATATTTCAGCAGAAACTAAGTGCTTTGCTCTATTTCGCAATAGAGGCACATGATACAAACTGTATTAAAACAGCTCAAGTTACAGTTAGAGAGTCTCTAAAAGCTCTGGATTTTGTATCATCCAGCTGTCTCCGTGATATTCCTATCTATGGTACTCTACCGTATTCCTGTTTGATAGAACAATCCTGCACTGCTGCATGTTGTAATTACTATCCTGGACCACAATGCTTTCTGAATGTCATCACCATCTTTGCAGTAAGGCTTCGCCATTTCATCAATTTGCTGCAGAAACAAAAAGGTACTTTGTGAAAAATGCCACTCTAAACCAAAACATTTTGATTTGAATAGAAAAGCTCACTGAAACTATTTCAGCAGTTGAGCAAAACACATAGATTTAAACACCATTCATACACCAAAATGAATGAATTAATCTGCCTAAACAAATTAGTACATATGCAAGACATCTGTGCTTTATTGTAAGGACCAAAATGGAACATTTGCATGTTTCCTACACATATCTGTATGTATATAAATGTACTCACATATATGCAACAATCCCACCATGTGTGTGTGCTGCATAAAGACGTCAATCCTACTTGCTATTCGGTGTACGTAGTTTTAACTTGGTCTGATAAAATAGTAACCAAAATCAAATAGAAAAATCCCAACCAATACGTATTTGATGCTTGTAGAGTTAAGCACTGCAAGAAAGAGGTTAAGACTCTATGCTCACACAACTGAATTAAGGACTATGATCAACATTTTCCAGTTAATCTTCTGGAAAGGCTGAAGTAATATGCTCATACTTTGGATCCTGAGCAAGCCTAACCAGCCTAATACGCACTGAGAGTTACAATACTAAATCAAGTATTTTAAGATCAGAATATTAAAATGGAAGTATTAGCTGGCAGGTATCCATAACATTTACCTCTGCTACCCTGCAGGCAGCATTAACCCGGACCATAGCTCCTGCTTTTAAGAGATTGCTCTGATGTAGCCGCAAGCAGATCAGATCCGTTGCAGCATTTGATGGTGCACACACCAAGATCCGACTGTCTGGCAGAGTATAATGTATCTGTATTAAAGAAGACAGATACTAAAAAAGGTTATTTAGAGAAGGAGAATAGCTCAAACATTCCCATTTTATTCCACTGAATCCAGAAGAGTTTTGCATAGATGTTAATATTCATTCATCCTTTCGCGCTTCAATGACACTAGTGTTGACAGCCATGACCAAGGACTCTCAAACTAGGTGGACCCACAGCAGAATTAATTCATGGTTATCATACAAATGTATACCTGTGCTTCATGGCCACATGATGCACTACTGAAATCACAAATTAGATACTGTTCACTGAAGTTTCAAAGACAAAGACAAGAAGACATGCAAGTAAGTCATTCAGAATTCTGTTCAATCCATATGAAGATGGATTTTCCTCTTTCACAGAGCTATAGAAAATGATCTTAAAAAAAAGGAGTATATTGAAAACTCTTTGGAGAAATATGATGGTACCTACAGAAATACCGTAAGTGTTCCAACACTGAAAAGATTAGAGATGACTGATTTGTCATTCACCACTACCTGTAAAATGGCTTCAATTATTGTTACTGTTTTTCCAGTTCCTGGTGGTCCAAAGAGAAGGTAAGGTGTGGGGCGACATTCACCACTCAGTATCCTTTTCACTGCCAGTTTCTGTTGCTCATTCAGCATAGGATTGAAAAATTCACCAGCTCTCTGTTTATGGGCCACAGTTTCATCAACTATAGTCAAGACAAGCATATCTTAGAACTTCAGATAAATACTTTTAACATACATAGATTAAAGCAATTTCAATTCACAATACACTTAAAAAAATTATTTTCCTTTAGTGAGAACAACCAATTAATTTCTAAAAAAATTCAGTTTTCATAGAATAGCATGTAGAAAATTAGCCATTAATATTTCAGAAGTGTACTGGATCTTTACTGAAGGCCAGAAAAGGACTACAATAACGTAACCCAACAATCTGTAAAAGCCCTACTCAGAAATTTTAGCATCAAGCTCACTTTTTTTTTGTCCAAGAAGAGCAAAATTTCAATAACTTTCAGTAAGTGGTACTTGTGGGATAGTACTACATGACCAGTCGTAAGTTAAAACTACTGGAATTTTTTGCTTAATCCTGTCTGAATTAGTCTAGCTTTAGCTTTCCACAGCACACACTCACTAACCCCTGGACGAAAGTGCATTCTAGGTAACATTCTCTGTATTTCTTTAGACATCCTATTGATACAAAATTACACCATCGCTTTCTTTGGCATTTAAGCACACTGATATTTAAAGTCACACTTTCCCAAACAGCATAGGAATGATCTGGGCTACCTGAGAAAAAAGTTCATTATCTTTGGCAAAGTAGCTCTCCCAAAGATGAGAGACAGCATCCCAGCAATAAATTGGAAACTTAACAAGACCAAAAATTTTCCACTAAATTACTGAGAAATGATAATCTGTTGCATACAAGATATTCCACCAGGTGTTTGCTGCCCCCTCCCTGAAAGTGTTCCAGGCCAGGCTGAACAGGACTCTGAGCAACCTGGTCTAGTGGAAGGGGTCTCCACCCATGGCAGGGGGGTGGAACTAGATGATCATTAAGGTCCCTTCCAACCCAAACCATTCTATGATTCTATGAATTGGAGAAGTTTGAGTAATGCACAAAAAACCTCCAAAGAAACTTCCTGCTATTTCTGTTCTAGAATTTGTCTTCAAAAGACAGACTACAAGGACATCTAAAAGGTATCTTGCTCAGCCCTCGTTTCCTGAAGCTATTGCAGTCCTGAACTGTAGCAGTTTATATTCAAGTACAGAAAGTATACCAAGTTGGCTTGTTTGCAGAGTTACTCTCATTGCATCTGTTGTGTTCACTTCCCTTGATGCTCTGAATTTTGCCTGTCTGTTCTGTGTTTTTTTGACCTGAAAACAGCAAGTGAAGATAAAAGCATTTATAACCTTAAGAAGACAGGCAACTATCTTCACTAATACTTTTGAAGATGTTAACTTTAATTTTTTCCTGCTATATAATATCATCCTATTAAACAGAATATCTACTGTGAAGACAGAAAGGTAAGAGTAGCAGAATAAGGTGCTAGGAATTCCTACGTTAAATTTAAGATTTCCAATAGTTTGGCTTCTGTTTACATTAAATATTTATTTCACAAATACTTTGCAGGCTCAAATGAGGATTTTGAAGCCATGGCTGAGTAACTTCTTGCCTTCCACAAGAGCAAGCATGCATATTTCATACCACTAAGTAAGTTTTTTTATAAGCACTTTCCATTTGAGATGGGAATATTAGCTTAATAGTATCAGTTATCACAAAATCCCCTGTCTCCAGGCAGCAAAAACTTCTGTCAGCAGAAGACACTTTTGATTCTTTGATACTCCATTATGCAATTCCTTTCTAACCATAGCTGTACAGTAGGTATCTCTGACCAATCTGAATGGAGATCTGCATTTTAAGGAACGTTTACAGTATAGATACCTTACTTTCCTGCTGTGAAGACTGTTCAAGGCCATCATCAACAACACAATACTCAGTAGTACTCTGAGTCTTGACAGCTTGTGGTGATTGTAAAACAAGCCTTTCCGGAAATAACACTTCAAATTTAGCAGAAAAAGAGAAAATAGAAGTTTGAATGCTACACAAACACTTTGCATGTTTCGCTGATTAACGTCACTGCTGATACATCAGTTTACTCCAAGCTGCCAAAAGCAATTTATCAGAGCTAAAGTGGTGAAGACCTGTGTCAAGTTCATATGGATCATTCTACTTCACCATACAACAGGAAACCAGAGCTTTTTAATCAGTCCTGAGGTAACACAAAGCACAGCTGTTTCACAGCTCTTATTATAACAGTATGACTTCTACGTTTCTTACTGGCTCTAACAGTTCACAAAAGTTTGCTTTCACTCCTCTTTCCTGTGATGGCCAACAGATGAAATCATTCTGAGGAAACCTTCTCTAGGTTCAGTGTGGTGGTTTTTTGTTTGTTTGTTTGTTTTCTAAAGCAAAACCAAAACAAAACACAAAAAGCCTCCAACAAACACTTGGAAAACTCCTCTAAGAACAAATTACAATGCATTCTTCTCACTATGACAAGACTCCTCACAAAGAAACTCCCCTAGACAGCTAAAGTCAACTGAAGTGTACCTTTTTCACCCAGGGCAGCAGCTTGCTGAATTGCAAAGTGGCAGCGCCTGCTAGTAATCCTGTTACCAGAATAAAGATTTGTAGGTTAAAGTAAAACCTTACATTTCCACACTATACAACAGCATACACCTCCAAAGTATCTGGCATTTTTACTATTCACCAGTGCATTGAAAAATAAGTTATACAGAAAAACATTTTTTTTTTTTAGACAAAAGCATCTGTTGAGAAATATGCTGCAGAAGTGTCAGTCAAGAGCTTTGTTATGATTACTATTGATACACAAATTCTCTAGCTCTTTGGTGAGACAAAGATGGCTTAGTGTTCCACACTTAAGTCTTTCAAGGAACTTCTCTGCAAAGGTGAATTTACAGAGAAGATCATGGAGCTCTGAGCAAATAACAATAACCCATGAATAAAACAAAAGTATAAAAGCATGGGTGGTTAACATCAGCTGTATTTTTTTTTGTACTCTTGCAGCCATATTGATATAATTTCTTATTATAAAAACCAACAACCAAAACAAAAAAAAAACCTACAAAAAATACCCCCCAAACACCCCACCTCATCCGCCCCCATTTCACTGTCTGGCATTGGTATGACAATTGAGAGTGAATCGAGACAAGAATTCTTTCTACACATGTACAGTTGCAGTCTTTTAACAACGAATATGGTGACAAAGATGTGTTGAGGCAGAGGTACACAAATTAGCAAGATCTTAATTATGTCCTCCTCCTATGTGGATCTACCAAAACAACCAGTTGACAGTCATGTACATTTGAAAAGCCACTTTACTAAATGAATCATTAAATGCAGCTTTTTGGAAACTTATTAGAACACCTGCAATGAACAAATTCCACATCCAAAGGTTCCAAGTTGTACGTCTGTTCAAAGTCTGCATTAGTTTTAAGAGTAACATCTTCATTACATATCTGTTGCAAAGACAAAAAGTCGGTATATTGAGAAGGTTTAGTAAGCACAAAGAAGCATCTCTGAAAACACTGAACCCCCCTATCACCTCCAGAAAGGACACCTAGATTTACCTGCCATCAACACATACCTAGATTATGTTACAAAGTGCTTTCAGAGCAGGTAAAGATTATAGTCTCAAAAGAATAGGGAAGCCAAAGTCTTTAAAAATACAATAAAAATACAAAGTAAGTCAAGTTATACTCGTCTGTAACTCCACAAATTGCCAATTTCCACTCTAAAACCTGCAGACCACCATGTTTTCAAGAAGAGATACACTTTGCTTACCTCAGTAATATAGGCAGTGTACTCTATTATATGCTCTGAGTACACCTGACTTCTCAGTACCACCTTATCACCTAATTGAAAACAAAGTTAAAAGGCAACATTCTGTTACAAGGAATAGTAAAATTTTTGCTGCAGCACTTCCTTCTCTTTTGCATGTCAAACTAGGAATTTGCTGGCAGCTAACTTCAGCAAAGTCACTGTACCCATAAGTACCTGTTCTGAAATGCCATATGCAGTTGTATATTACACTTTAAAAGGCACCTAGTGTTGATGATATCAGACTACACCTCCCAAAACCAGTATCTTGTTTACTCCATTATCAGAAATTCCGAACTACTTTACCAGCTCTTGATTTTGCTACACCTATAGTCTTTTAAGCTATTAACACATTGCACAGTTTATTTTTGCTGAAAGCCTCACAGATTTTTGTACATGAAAAATTCTGAAGTATCTGAACTTGTGTAAGAACTGACACATACAATGCTGCTTCAGGCAGCCATTCTAAGACTCACACTGAGACACTAACCCAGCAGTTCCCCTATCTAGTAGTCAAAATTAATAACTTTGTGTTCAAATACGGTGAGACACTTCTTTAAACAAATGAATACGCAACAGAGTTTGCACTGTACTGAAAATATGGATCAACATGCTATTTGGCTTTATCTCACATTCACTTCTACCTGGAATCAGGCGAGGTCTGCCCTCTTCCACTCCTGGCACTTCCAACACTAACAAGTCACCATTCCTTTTCAAAGTAACCCCACTAATGGCGAAATCTTTTATATCCATTTCTGCGTGGATGTCTTCAAGCCACAGGAGAGTAGTAAAGTTTGCTTTATAATTATCTAGATTAAGACGCTGAAAAACAAAACAGTCTACATTAACAGATGGAACCCACTGCAACTAACTTCATACAAAACACCCCTTAAGACAGACTACACAGCAACTGAGTTGCCAATTACGTCACCTAAATACATGTATTCATATACTAGCTAATATTTTAAACACCCCCAATAGTCAAAACTAAGTTGGTATAGTTCTTGGAGCTCAGATACATTAACCAGCCAGCTAAAGAGCTAACCAAGCCTCTCCCTACTATAGTGGCAGTTTCAACATATGAATTCAGGGGCAGTCTATGAACTGATTTCTATGCTCAGCAATCCCAGAAAACATCCAAAGACACAGGCAGAGATGGCTGGAGAGAGACAGTCATGTCAATCTTGGCTCTGACTGATCATAGAATCACAGAATTTTAGGGGTTGGAATGGACCTTCCAGATCATCTAGCCCCAACCCCTCCTGCCATGGGCAGGGACACCTCCTCACTAGACCAGGCTGCTCAAGGCTCTATCCAGCCTGGTCTTGAACACTGCCACTGTTGGGTTATCCACAACCTCCCTGGGCAACCTGTTCCAGTGTCTCACTACCCTCACAGTAAAAAAATTTATCCTAATATCCAGTCCAAATTTCCCCTCCTTCAAGTTGAACCTGTTACCTCTTGTCCTATCACTGCAGCTCCCAAAAAAGCTCCCTCTGCAGCTTCCCTGATGATTACATAACTCATGGCATGCTGAAAGAATCTTGACTTTCTCCCTCAGAGCTTAATGACTCTCACTGCAGAAGTATTCTCCAACAGCACAAAGTTCTATCTGAACAACAATAACCCAGAATGCTTTCTATTTGGTTTCTTCTTGCTCAAATACAAGACGAGTGAGCAGAGCTTTCTGATGCAGACTTTAAAGTCATCAGTACCAGACAAACTTAAGGTGTGGTCAAAAAATAAGGTAATCATTAATGGCAGATCTTCAGCATATAGTTATTTCAAACACTAGAGTTGTATCTTTTTTGAGAGAGGATCACTAATCTGATAGCTTAATGATGTGACCTCAGGTTTTGTATGAGCTATTCAGACAACAGACAACATAGACTTCTATGTTTTTAAACCCCAGTTTAAAGTTTTAAGCCCCAGTTTGTAAGTACTTAAAAAATTACTGATTAAAAAAAGAAGTCAGTTGCAGCAATGTTATAGCAGAAATCAGGGCAAAATTTTGAAGACGAAATCATTATAACATTCTTGTTAGACTTTAGAGTTTTCTGGGTTTTTTAATTGATATGTATTCTGAAACTGCTACACTCGTGGGAAGAATTCAAATAAGCCACACTGAATTAAATTTGAAGATGTTTAAGAAAACAGTTTTTAATAACCAGAAAAGAATCCTGTTGCAATAACTAAGAAGATTCTGTTTTCTGTTATTTCTATGAAATAATAACTGTTGTAACACCTCAATAAAACCTTTCCAATGATGCCTAAAAAGTGAGAATATAGAGGAACCTTTCTCCAGTTCTGTAACAGCCCCCAATATGCTTCTACTCCCTCTCTTCAGTTTTCCACATTCATGCTTTTGTGCTCTTGTCAGCTTGTATTCTGTAACATACTGAAACCCATGGAAGTTACGGGATACAGACTAAAGTCTTAAGTCTACCTGGCAAGAGTGATATATCATCTTCTGTTACACTAAGGAGTACACATTTTTGCTAAATTAAGGCAAGCTTAAACAAAAACACTTATACAAAAACTTTATTCTTATATTATCTTACACTTGCCTACCTCTGCTAGGAGAGGCTGAAAGGTCAGTATGTCTAACTTCTGCTCCACACATTTTCTTAACTCATCCGGTATGGTATAATGTGGGAGAAAGTTTGAACACCACTTTCTGTTATTTCTAGAACAAAAATATATGACAGATCATTTACTTTTCTTAAATCACATATTTCAAAACCAGCTAATTAGCATGCCACATCACCAAGACAATAAAATCGAAACATACACACAGGCCAGACCCAAGGAATCCCTTCAAAGGGACAACTGAGAATTTTGTTATACTGGGAAGAAAGACAAGAAAGAGATCCTCTACTTTTTTGACACTGTAGGTAAAAAAAATCATGCAATCAAAGCTCAATTGGAGTTGAAGTTGGCCAGGACTGTGGGGGACAATAAAAAGAGTTTTGAAGTATGTCAATACCCAAAGGCAATGCAGAAACAATATAAGCTCATTACAGGATGAGGACTGTCAAAGCAGCATTTGGACAAAGCTCTCAGGGACATGATGTAATTCTTGGGTCTGTCCTGTACAAGGCCAAAGAATGGACTTTGATAATCTTTGTGAGTCCCTTCCAGCTCTGGCTATTCTATGATTCTAAGTGTTCCAGATTATTTGGAAATACTGTGTTTCTGTTTTTGCAGCTTAGGTATATTTTTATAACTAAGCCAATACCATAAGTACAATGGAAACTCACTTGCAAGAGGAAAAGTTCTGAATAAAAGATATTTATCAGATATAGATGTCAAAGTTGTACAAAGAATTAAGGGGCTAATTATCTCAGAAAACTATTTCCAATTTCCCATCTTTTTTCTTAATGATACAATTGTTACTTGTGAGTAACTATGCAGCATTGTTTTATCTTGTTTATTACTACATTATACATTAGAATGAGACTGTGTCTGACAAAGCAACAAAGACATCAAGCAGTTTATTACTAAAACAACCTCTTCTATCAGCAATATCCATAATCATCTTGTATATAAACTCTCCCAGTTTCACAATTTTTGTCAGCATTACAGAACAGATACAGCAATACCGAACAGAGCAGTACTATAAAGCAGCAAGAAATAAACAGAGCAGAAAGTGTTATTTTGTTGCTCTAATTCACAGTACCTTCTGTATTTAGGGCCAGCCACTGTTGTCTTTCTTGGCTGAGGTTCTGCAATCATTTTAGGCTGTCTTGGAGAAAATGGTTCCACAGGTGCTATAAGTAATTCTTCTTCGGTTGTTACAGTGGCTTCAATGTAACATCCCAAAGTAAAATCAGAAAAACCAAGCAACAGGAGTTCTTTACTGTACCCAGGATTCCTTCAAGTAAACAGAAGTTATGTGCTTAAAACCAGCATGTTCACAGTTTATTTTCCCCAGCCACATGTAATTTTTTAAGGAAAACTGTATATTCTCATTTCAGCAACATATGAGAACTGCTGATTTAGGGTAATTACTCACACGTACTCCCCACCCTGAGTTCAAGCCAAGTATCATAAATAAGTAAAAAGAAAAAAAAAAAAAGAAACAGCCAAAAACCCAGCAAAATTCTCAACTCCACAATTTTATCGAAAACTTGGGGTAAAGAGCAAAATCCCTCCACTCCACATACTGGGATGCAGAATTAACACTTCTGTCACAAGGGACATCTTGGAATTACTGCTCCTGAAAATGATGAGAAAAACAGTTCCATGAGAGGAACCTGAAGCCTATCTCCTCACTGTCTGCAGCAACAGCTTTGCTCCACTTTGCCTAAGGCTACTCAGAACTGAACCCTAACTGTAAACACATCAAGTGGAGAAACTAAGAAATTTAATTCTAAAAAACTTACTGAAAAACTTTAATTCTGAAAAACTTACTTTATATGTGTAAGTGGTGCTTGGGGAGTGACAGAGGGGTAAAACCAGGACGGAACAGTTTCTTCAGACTGGTTTCTAAGAAACAATATGTAGAATCCAATTCTCAGCACTATGTGGGACCAATACTGTTACTATATGCCTGAAACAAATGCATCCCAGAAGGATTCCAGCTTACTTTCTCTTTGGCAGGAGTACCACTTTTTCAACATTTGCCAACCAGCACTACCTGATCAGGTTAAAACTACAGCCTGGTCTTCTCTGATGTAAAAACACAGCACACACTCAACTGTCCAGATTTATGGTCTCTCTACTTTCTCCAGTGGCCACCAAGCATTTGCTACCTTTAACCTGCAGTCTCCCATGGAGTTCTGTGTGGATTGTTCTGCATTATTACAAGATTCGAAGACTTGTGGTTTTTACAGATCTACACTGAGATGTAAATTGATCTTTCTCCACATGCCCTCCCTCCACTAAGGCAGGCCATGCCTGCAGCTTTATCTTTCAAACTGCAGCTATGTCACCCTTCTAAGAAATTTTCTACCACTTGCCTCACTATTTAACATGATAATGGAAGTAGCGTGAAAGTTGATGCAGTGTTACTTTGATGAATGAAACCATTCGACCTTGTTTTCCCCAGTCCTAAGAATCTATGATTCCTAAGAACACAATGTTTGTGGAGCTACAGCTGGAGGTAACTGGAAAGTACACAAATGTAAGCATTTCAGCATGAGGTTCCTACTTGAATTCTGAAAGAGCTCACATGAAGCCACTTTCAATTCTTAACTACATTTATGAAATATTTTATACAGCAAAGTATTCTAAGATCTGAAAAATACTGCCTCTATAAATTACACCCTCAAGGAAGGAATTTTCTTCTTTCTTATTTCAGCAAATGTAACTTGAATTTACTATCACAGAACAGGAAGGGTTGAGATCAGGACAAGACAAATGTTACTGAGACGAGAAGAAATGTATCAGATATCATGCATAAATTCCCGGGAAATCTATATTAGCTCTAGTGCTCATGGAGCAATGGATTTCCTGAGAAGAATAAAACCATCTGCAGGCATTATCTTCACCTCACTTTGTCATTTTAGAGAGGTTATTTACTCCTACTATATTTCTTCGTTAACTACCACCATTCTCTTTCAATAAAAATCAGTTTCAAGCACTGAAATACTCTGAAAGTCTGATATGGGTTTCCAGGTAACTTGCTAATATGAACTGGCTTGCTTTACCCGACATCATGTGCTGGTTTTGGTTGCAGTAGAGTTAATTTTCTTCACAGTAGGTAGTATGAGACTCTGGTTTGGATTTGCACTGTAAACATTGTTGATAACACAGAGATGTTTCCATTGTTGCTGAGCTGTGCTTACACAGAGCCAAGGCCTTTTTCCATTCCCATACTGCCCCACCACCAAGAAGGCTGGGGGTGCACAAAGAGTTGTGAGCGAACACAGCCAGGACAGCTGAGACCCCCAACTGACTCAAAGGATATTCCATACCATATGGCAACACGCTCAGCACACAACGCTGGTGGAAGAAGGAAGGAGGGGATGTTTGGAGTGATGGCATTTGTCTTCCCAAGTTACTGTTACACATGATGGAGCCCTGCTGTCCTGGGGATGGCTGAACATCTCCTGCCCATGGGAAGTGGAGAATGAATTCCTCATTTTGCTTGGCTTGTGTGCACAGCTTTTGCTTTCCCTATTAAACTGTCTTTATCTCAACCCACAGCTTTTCTCACTTTTAATCTTCCAACTGTCTCCCCCATTTCACCAGGAAGGAGTGAGTGAGTGGTTTTGTGGGACTTAGCTGCCAGCTGGGGTTCAACCATGACACACCAAGAGGATGCCCAGAATAAGTGAACTATTAAGTCTGACTTCCTCCCATTGTATTGGTTAGACACAATGGAAAGAGATACTTACATAGCTGTGCAAATGATCACTATGAATGTTTTTCCACCTGGTGGTATCACAATTTCTCCAGTAACATTGCCATGATTTACTGGTTGCTCCGTATCTTTTTGCCCATTTTCTCCATTTTGCAGATTTTCATCTTTCACCAAGGAAATGTTTTCTTCAGCCCTTGATAAATTTGTACCTTGAGAATTACTTCCTTCTGTAGTAAACATAATAATAAATTTTGTTACCACAGTTGATACTGCTAACATTGGCAAGTCTTCTCAAACAAACCTACAGGTCTTCTGAGGAAATAATGTTCAGCATTCTAACATTAACATTTCACCCTACCTGGAATGACTCCATTCCTCATAATGGATGTACTGTTCAGTGACTCATATGCTGTTCCTCCACAGTCACTAGATGAATTAACTGCAGCTTTTGAGATGTTTTCTTGATTTATTGGAAAAGATGACGGATCTGCTTCTGGACTGTTCTCACATTTTTGAGGAATCTGAAAACTGAATTGCTTGGTTTTCACCCATCCAGCAAATCTGCAGCTGATTAAGGACTGTGGTACACTCCCTTTATTCCTAGAAGTAGTTATGTGATTAGTTACATAATTAAATGTATGGTTAATGCTCTTGAATTGAATCTAGAAGTTGAATTCTACATGAAGTCAAATGCAACTGTCTGCAGCAGGTTAGTTCACCATTACTTCGTAACTGCTACCAGAAAGAAATTGCACCTCTGCTTCTAACTCATGAAGACTAGAACCTCTACTTAATATTTCCAGCTCACATCAACTACCATAAGAAGCATACAGAAATACTGTGTGTAATAAAAACCTATGGTAGCTTAAAACTTACCATGGTAGAACTAAGTCTTAGGAAAGAACACACAGCAAAAAATAGCAAGTATTCAGGTATGACTTCATTTTGAGCCCCTGCACCCAGATGTGAAAAAGAAAACAAACAAACAAACAAAGAGAAAACCGCCAAAACATAAACCTCTCAATGATACACCAACACAGTTCTTCAGTATACAAGTTTTAAAAACAAATTCGAAAAAAAACCCTTGTCTGCTTTTAATATGTGAATAAGCAACAGTCCTCTTGTTCTAAGATTTTGAAGATGGCAGTGTATCTGCAGTTTAAACACACAAGTAAAAGCATTTACTTCAATCCTCATTCCAGGAAGGATTTTATTAGGATTGAAGAGTTTCAAAGCTGTGGAGTCTCAAAGCATTATCTGCAATATAAATGCTCAACAGCAAAAAGACTATTCTACAGACATTAAATGCAATGTGAACTTTTCTTTAATTCCATAGTGTCTGGAAGTTACTTTAAGATCGCAAACCACAAGGCTCCACTACAAGAGCTTCTGTATGAAAGGCACGTTTACAGAGTGATGGAAATAAAGAAATCCTTAAACAATCAGAAAGGCTTACTCTATCCAAATGTTCATTCTTTTAGATTCCCCCTGCTTCAGAGTTCCAAAGTCAGTCATTCTTGATACTTTCAAGTCTCCTTTGTCACTCATTAAGTCTTCACAAGGCTCATCCATAATACCTCCATTAGAGTGAGACTGTCTGAAAAAGCAATTTTAGGTAGCAATTTTTAAACACAAATAGACTCAGCAAATATCTTTGATTCAGCACAAATTTAAGAAACACTCTACCAAATCACAGTCACAGTATTTAGAAATAACCAGGGGAGAGAGTTCATTTTTCTCTCATCCACTTTATACCTCAAGACAATTAGATTACCTTTACTAATTTAAGCAGCAACAAGCCTTTTGTCAGCAGCACAATAAACCAGCATAAAACTTTGGATACAAGACTAAAATGATTCAGAAGTTAGCTAATCTTTGCTGCAGAGCTGAATCAAACGGTGACTGAAGCCATTATGGATCTCTTTGGGAGCTGAACAAAGACACAACAAAGGGCAGCTCCTTAGCAAGAGTCCTGATTAGCACTGGAGCTTAAGAGATAAAACCACTAGACTCGAAGTGTTTCAACAAGTACCCCAAAAACACTTAGGTTTTCTGCTTACTGCTACAACCTGAAATCAGCAAACTGAAGAAGAAATGAAAAAAAAAACCAAAAAAAGAAGTGGAAAACCAAGAAGCATCCTTGAAAACTTCTATCACACACACTGCTGGGGGAAAATGCCAATGAAACGAGTCGCACGCTCTTTCCTGTCTGAGACAGTGACCACAGCTCTAACCTCTCTGCGCCTTCTACCTGTAGAAACAAATTTTTAAATGGTTTCTATTCTGCAGTTAAGAAACTATTCAGCTAGATAAATGAGCACGGAAATAACTTGGAAATATGTTAATAATCTCACCAATATTTACACACCCTAATTATTCCTGAGTTATCTAACACACCAAAGTAGAAAATTACTGCAGCTGCTCTTTATTAGCTACATCAGTATACTAGCAGAGCCCACTAGATGTCTCCCACTGCAGCCTAAGCTTCCTCAGGTTTCTGGTATGGCAGGATGTACACTACACCTGAGAAATCAATCCTTTTCCAATTTGGCTTTAGTAATAATTTTCTGTATAAAATCCATCATTAAAAATGGGCCTAAGTAAAAAAAAGTTAACAATTTGTACTGTTTTGCAAAATAATGTAAACAAGTTTTGTCTAGGTACAACTTAAATCTATTACATCCAGTGAAAACAGCTTGTTCCATTCTTCGTAGATCCTTTGAAGACACATGTACTGCCTGTAGCTGTCATCTCCTAGAAATCTCCCAAAGGCAAGTTGTCCCAAAGACCATGTTTGAAAGGTATCAGAATGTCCTTTTGCTTTCCCTTTTGGACTTTCCAATTGGTTGACAATTTATTTTTGACCTGCAGAATCAGACTCTGTAATCCTACCAAGACCTTACCATGGAAAATGACCAATTTCACAGGTCCTAGCCCTATTTATTTGGGTGGTGTTTGTATTTCACAAGTTAAACTCCAGATCTTTGCTGCAGAACTGCTACTGACTAGCTGGCCATTCTACATTTGTGTAGTTGGCTATTTCACAAAGTTTTGCTTCTTCTCCATACTGAACATAATCTACTTTTTCCAACTTCTCCTGCAATCTGTCCAGATCCTCCTCATATCACACAGTCCATCCGAAGTGCCTGAAGAACCTCTCAGTTCAATACTTATAAACTCAATTAATCTCTATTATTCAGATCATTAGCCTGTTCCATTTAGGACAGATGCCTGAAGAATCACTGTAACTTAAGAAAATGGTTTAAAGAAACATCCATTTTGTGTCAGTTTAGCTCAGAATGGTTTTCAAACAGTAAAGTCCTCACCAGAAGACCATAGATTAAACACAACATAAGAGCATGAGCTTGGCATTTTTCTAACAAAATCATGTGAAATTCCTTCCTAGACTAGCAATATCCCTGAGCCCAGCTGCTACTAGTTTTGCTTCTCTATTAAGCACAGATGTCCCCACCTTCTGGAAAGGAAAAAAACATTAATAAAACCCCCAAGGGTCAAATCATATCATGCTCTCATCTTTCCAATGATCTACCATGCCTTCTAGTCAATTAGGGAAGAATTCACAATATTTCTTGCTTAATAAATGCAACAACATGTAAGCTGCATAACTACAGTACATCTCTAATTGTTACAAAGAGAATGAAATGAGTATTACCCATCCTGGCTGACTGGCACCAAGCAGAGAGCTCTCCAAATATAACATGACTGACTGCTCTCCACCACAATCGTGTTCACTAGATCATGTCTACGAGGTGAGTAGCCATCAGGAAGTATCAGCGAATCCAAAGTGAAAAATATGCTGTCATCTACTGTCCCAGATCTTCCACAGACGCTGGAAATGCGAACCTGTAAGAGTCTGTATTCAGTGTCACTTGATATTATCCACGTAAGCTAACACACATACTGCTGGTGCATATTTTTGCCCCTGAAACAGTCCCTCTAGCTGCATTCTGAAGTCTCAGTTATTCATAGGAGGTAAACATAGAGCTCTAACCTACAATCACTGTGCTTGTCTTTAGATTTAGAAGTGTAAAGAAACACAAGTACTTCAGATGAGCATTAGGTTTCACTGAAGTGCATACCACAATATGCACATTTGACTCACCTGTCTTGTGACATCAACTTATCTAATTTATACTTCAACACTAGTAGATGACAAACCTAATATATGCATTAGAGGGAACAAATATTTTCATTAAAATAAAAGAAAGGGACAATCGTTGTTTTTAAGTCAAAACACTTGGATAAATTAAACCTAATAAATTATAGTCATGAGTTCTTAAAAGAGTCTGAAAATCCACACAACCTGATTATAACCAATAGTAAGCATTCAAGTCAACAACTGATAGTAAACAAGTTAGTTACTCTTCCTGTTCTAACCAAAATGTGCATGCTTTTTCAAACAACCTTGTTATTTTAGAAACAATCCCCTAAATGGATGAATTGATACATTTTACCTTTCAATTAAAGATGTTTTATAAAAGATCTACCAATATTAGAAGCTTAAACCAACTTAAAATCCCACCTGACACAATTCCTCCTGCCAAAACCAATGTGCAGAACATTTACCTTGTCTACTTGCTTGTATCTCAAAGGCCTTACATCGACTGCTTCACTGCTCCATGTGGTTGAGTTAATAAAATATTTCGCTTGCACCCAGTCACCTTCACAAGGTTTGAAATCTGTATAAACCAGAACATTTCTCAAGTTTAGTTACTACTGATAACATTTACATTACTACCCTACAGAACTAGTCTAAGTTAAGCAAAATCCAAAACAATGCATCATTCAGATCCACTGAGTCTGAACTTCTCTTTGCAGGTCTTCTCCCCAGAGGTTACAACAAGCCATGTAAGAGATGCTAGTGGAAAAATACATTTGCTTACATGCAACTTATGCTCAGTGAGAATGAACAGGTAGCTTTCTTCACCCATGTATAGGTAGGTGTTCTGTATTTCACTGCATACACTCTATTAGAAATTATTTGGGATGCCCACTGCAAGTTTATCAGATGATATTGATAGTGTGCACACAAAAATCTTAAGGAAGAGCAAACGCACCTGCACAAACATCTGCCATGGCAAAGTAAGTATTCTGATTAATATAGCCACCATCCTTAGAAAGAGAGGTAATGCTGCCAAATATTGGTTTCATATTTGATTCAAAGGCATCACAAGTAAGACTGGAGTCTTTCCATGTATCCTGGATGGTATCTACCTATTAATACAAAAATAACCCCAACATTCAAACAGTTAATACTTAGAATTATATGTTAAACATATATTTCTACCATTAATATCAGAGTTTCAATTGCTTATGGAAGTAAAGCTTCTTATTAGACAATTATTTACTCTGTAGCTGTTACTTTTGGTATACAAAACCAGTGAGTAGTAAACATTAACTTCTCTTCTAAGTCTGCTGTATGCTGCAACTCTGACAACTACTGTAACTACATGCTGATTTGTCAGATCTTTCTCACCATTCCCTTGCTTTAGGGCTACTTAAGAATTTTCTTCATATTGACAAGAGGACCACCCCTAGCAATGTGACTGTGTACAAGTGGAACTGGAAGATCATTATTTCAGAAAGCAAAAAAAACCAAAAAGTTTTTCAAGATGGTATTTATAAACACTATTTGTATTTCAGCCTGCCCCTCAGTCATTCTTTAATAATTTGAATAAAAAAACCCTCTAGAGCTGCTTCTTACACTGACTTTCCATATCACCACCTTGGATGTCAGGTTAGCAAAGTCTGGTCCAATCTGAGCTGTACTACAGTCTTAATTTTTATGATTTATTTTGTTGAATATAATGCATATTACCATTTAAGATAGTAACAAATAGCTATGTCTACTTCAGATTTTGCAAACACTACAGTTAAACTACACATAGCTATTTGTTAGTCAATACTGTCATATTGCATTTAAAGGACTATTACTACATGGTATTTCCTTTCAATGACATGAAAACTCACTGTAAGAAGTCCAGAAAATTCTGGTTTGCTCTAGTCTGACAGACAGATTTTTACATTCACCAAGATTATCTGAGAATATCAAATCTTCTCCTAAGTGGTTTTTATGGCTTCATATGGATTGAATCTGAATAAGCAATTACACTGCTCCTCAGAGGACTAGTAAATTTACATTTCATGTAAGTTACATATGGAGTTATACTTGAAAGTAATTTGTAGACCTAAGAAAACATTTTCAAGACATAAAAACACCTTAAATCTCTCAACATAATCTTTTTATACTTCTCAATTTTCCTGTACCAATAAAACTGTAAAGTTGTCCCTCACATTAGCTGAAAATGGCCTTCCTACTACCACTGGTAGTAGCCTGCTACAGAACCTATTATTATTAATTGCAGAGTATAATTAGGACTTGACCTCAAACATACTGAAATCCAGACTTCTGAGCTAGGATCTTTCCAAAGCACATGGCAAGTAGCTTCAAACAGCAGCTGAAACAGCACACTGAGCAGAGGGCCACCCAAGGCTGATCACACCCTTCCTTAAAGCAGGTAACATAAAAAACACTGACAACACCAAAGTTTAAACTGCACCTTCCAGATTCTCCCCAAAATGTGTGTTGGCAGTGTTCAGGCTGCAGCGTTTGCACTCATTTCTCCAATTAGAGGAGTATATACCAGGTCACTTAAAACCCAGTTACTTGGAAGGGGATAGTACTGGTGTCAAAGCACCATTTTGTATATTATTTAATGATTATGTTTGTCAGGAAGCTACATTTTCTCCTCTGACTACAGGTTTAAAAAGGAACTGAGTTCTTTCCCTCTGCCCCCCAAAAAGACTGATATAAATGCTGTTGGCTGTTCAGAGCAAACTCTCAAAGCATCTCAAGTTTGTGCCACTACATGGAAAGTAATTTAAGACACTACCAAGTAAGAATGAGTTTAGTTTTTATCCAAGTACTTAGAATAGACTTTGAAGAAACAAGCTTTTTCTTCTTGCTTACTGAATCAAGGCTGCCCTTGGACTTTGGCTTTCTATATAGTCCAGTCAGCTTTTGGCTTAAACTTGCCTTTAAGCTCTTCACCCAGTCACAAACTATGTTGCCAATAGTCTGAGATGCCTGCAGATTATGGCTCACCACAAACAGGATAAATCTCTATGTTTTTGAAAAAAAAAAGTGCTTTTGAAAATGCCATTATCAAGAATATACAAAAAAACCCATCCCACACATCCGAACGTGGTTTCTCAGTTACCAGGTTTATGTATTTTGGAGCAAGGACAGTATTTCAACAGTATAGTGAAAGCTGTCAGTCAGACGGAAAACACTGAAGGAAAAAGAAGATTTAAACTCATCTGTGTTCTGCCTCTGTGTGAGTGCTATTTCACCAAACAAAACTGAAATTGCTTGTTGGACATACAATATTTAGTTTTCATGGAAGAAAGTAATTTCCATTTAAAAAAAAAGAAAAAAGAAACAAAAGAAAAATAAGAGACATCAGATTATCTTACAAGACACTAGGGTTTTGGTAGCACTAGAGCTGGGAATATCGTGGAAACCAGACCTCTTTTACTTTCCTTCTGTGTTACATCTTAGATCACACAATAAAACTCCCTACTAACAGTCTTTCTTTAGTTTTATTTAATCAATGAAATTGCATTGGTTGCAAAATTAAATGGATTTGCTAAGAAAAACTCCCCTCAAAATTTGTGACAAGATATAATCAAACTTGAAATAAGTTTACAAATGAAGTGTTGAGCCAGAAAGGTACTGAAATCTCCGTATTTGTAACTGTCCATAACACTAACTTGCCCATTTTTACAACAGCAAGTTTTGAAATTTACGTGCTCATTCATAAGAACATAAATTCACTTCTGTGCAGAGTACACTTATTTTCTTATCCATTCAAACAACATAAAACTGATTTTGAAACTCAAAAAAATTAAGACACAGTGTGAACTAGCTCTGATTACACAAATTCTGATCCAATTATCTCAACCAATACTTTCATATTCACTACATCCACGCCTATATTCAGAGAATCAGTATTAAACAGACTTTTAAAGAAGATGGAATAAAATAATAAAACCCCAACCCCCCAAACTTATCCCCCCTAGGTGAAGAGCAGGCAGTTCCTCCTACTCTGAAGAATCTGTGAGGCTAAAACTATAGTAACTTCCAAAAGAAACCCTTGAGGTACTTACAGAGAAAGTAAGACTAGTACTTATCCTCACTTCTTACCCTGACAGCCTTCAAGCCACCCGATGTTTTATCCTCTTCCACAGTGGCAGTGACTTCTTGTCCAACAGCCAGCGACACATTTTTTGTAACAACATCCTTTGTGAAGACTATAACGTCATCTATCATCCCATAATCATGGCAAAGTCTTGTCACTATTCCTTTTACCATTTTCAATTCATCATCACCTGCATCAAGAGGAAAAATATTGACAGGAACCCAAATCACTTGTTTACAGAACTATGCAACAACTGACTGACCACCCTCCCAGTAAAGAACCTTTTTCCATTTAAATTGGAAAAGACCTTTAAGATCAGGGAATCAAACTGTAAACCTAACACTGACAAGTTCACCACTAAACCATGTCCCTAAGAGCCACATCTACCTGGCTTTTAAACACCTCCAGGGATGGTAACTCAACCACTTCCCTGGGCAGCCTGTTCCAATGCTTGAACATCTTTTCCATGAAGAAATTTTCCATAATATCCAATCTAAACCTCCTGTAGCACAACTTGAGGCCATTTCCCCTCATCCTATCAGTTGTTTCTTGGGAGATGAGACTGCTCCCACCTTGCTGCAGCCTTCTTTCAGTTAGCTGTAGAGAGCACTAAGGTCTCCCCTGAGCCTCCTTTTCTTCAGGCTAAACAACCCCAGCCCCCTCAGCCACTTCTCATCAGATTTATGCTCCACACTCTTCACCAGCTCTGTTGTCCTTCTCTGGACACACTCCAGCACCTCAATGTATTTCTTGTACTGAGGGGCCCAAAACTGAACACAGGATTTAAGGTGCAGCCTCACCAGTGATGAGTGCACAGGGATGATCACTTCCCTAGCCCTGCTGGCCCCACTATTTCTGATCCAGGCCAGGATGCCATTGGCTTTCTTGGCCACCTGGGCACACTTGGCTTGTGTTCAGCCAGCTGTCAACCTGCACCTCCAGGTCCTTTTCCACAGGACAGCTTTCCAGGCACTCTGGCCCAAGCCTGTAGGGGTTGCTGTGACCCAAAGGCAGGACTCAGCACTTCAACTTGTTGAACCTCATGCAACTGGCCTTGGCCCATAGATCCAGCTGGTACAGATCCCTCTGCAGAGCTTTTCTACCCTCCAGCAATTCAACACTCCTACCCAACCTGGTGACATCTGCAAACTGACTGAGGGTATCCTTGATCCCCTTGTCCAGATCATTGGTAAAGATAGTATCTACAGCCATTCCTCACCCACTAAGTTGGTCACCTTGCCCTAGAAGGAGATGAGGTTGATCAATCAGGACCTGTGTGTCATAAATCCATGCTGGCTGAGCCTGATCCCCTGGTGTTCTGCACATGCCACATGATGGCAGGCAAGATGATCTGTTCTATGACCTTTCCCAGCACCGAGGTCAGGCTGACAGGCTACAGATTGTCCTTCCCACCCTTCTTGTAGATGACTACCACATTCGCTAACTTCCAGTCAACTGTGACCTTCTTGCTGAGCCAGAACTGCTGGTAAATGATGGGAAGTGGGTTGGTGAGCTCTTCCACCAGCTGCTTCAATATCCAAGGGTGGATCCTGTCCAGCCCCATAGACTTGTGTGTGTCTAAGCTGCATAGCAGGTCATTGTCCATTTCCCTTGAATTATGGTGGCTTCATTCTGCTCCCCATCCCCGTCTTCCAGCTCAGGAGTCTGAGTACCCAGAGAACAACAGGTCTTGCTGGGAAGTGGGTTGGTGAGCTCTTCCACCAGCTGCTTCAATATCCAAGGGTGGATCCTGTCCAGCCCCATAGACTTGTGTGTGTCTAAGCTGCATAGCAGGTCATTGTCCATTTCCCTTGAATTATGGTGGCTTCATTCTGCTCCCCATCCCCGTCTTCCAGCTCAGGAGTCTGAGTACCCAGAGAACAACAGGTCTTGCTATTAAAGACCAAGGCAAAGAAGGCATTGAGTACCCTTTTCTTCATTCCCTTGAATTATGGTGGCTTCATTCTGCTCCCCATCCCCGTCTTCCAGCTCAGGAGTCTGAGTACCCAGAGAACAACAGGTCTTGCTATTAAAGACCAAGGCAAAGAAGGCATTGAGTACCTCTGCCTTTTCTTCACCCTTTGCCACGGTTTCCCTCCACACCCCAAAAAAGATGGAGGTTCTCTTTAGCCTTCCTTTTGTAACTAATATATTTATAGAGATTTAAAAAATCATCCTTTATGACAGTAGCCAGATTAAGGTGTAATTGGGCTTTAGCTCCTCTAACTTCCTCCCTGCACAATAGCCTCATGACATCCTTGTAGTCATCCTGAGTTGCCTGCCCCTTCTTCCAAAAGTTTCTCAGTTTTTTCCTGAGGTCCAGCCAAAGCTCTCTGTTCCATTGGGCCATGAATACCCAATTTCAGGCACAGAATTTGATACCTGAGCACACATACACAGAGACACACACACGCATATATAAAATACATAAAAATTCAAATATATCAAAAAACTTGAAATTAAAAAATGCCAGCAAGCTAAATAGCTTCCCTTAAAAGCTCTGGGGCACCAACTATTTTCAAGATATTCCATAGCAAAACAAAGTTCTCAGCACTGTTTGCATGGGGAATCCAACATATTTAAAGTTTCTACACTGAAAAAGCAGGAAGAGTAAACAAGTTATACAAATTAATTCTTCACATTTGTTTAAATAATATTACAGTTAACACACTTCTGAGCTAAGATGTGGTGCTATTTCTCTGGAAACCTAGGAGTTTCTAGTACTTTCAATTAGAACTACTACCTACTTACACATCACATAAACATTCACTCAGCTGCAGTGCAACTTCAGGCTTAAAGCTGGATTGAAGTATGCTAGTTTAGACTTCAAACACATTACTAACTACACACAATCAAGACAAAAAGAAGAGTAACCTTTGGGATTTTTGCTTTAAGTATTCATAGACATGAAAAAGCACCTTTTGCTACATTGAATAATGCTACTAAAAGCATCTCAAATGTACACCATTTTTGAATAGGAAAGCTATACTATTATCTCCATTCTACAACCCAAATAAAAAGGTTTATTAAGGCTGTAATACAAGGGAAAGCCCAAAATAATCCACAATCCACCAGAACACCCTTCCTACACCTCACCCACAAAAGGCGGCAACAGACCCCTTTTTTAGCCACAAAGCAATGAAAAGTACTGCTGGGAACAGTCCCACATGGTCTACAGCCCCAAAATAATGTTTTATACTCTCAATCCCCTTATTTCCTTTTGAAGGAAACAGGTCTGCACTGAGCTCCATTCACGCGGACGACGACACGACCAGCGCCCTCGCGGCTGTGAAGCTGCACCACAAACCCGCCCAGTGACTCCTACCTGAGGCCGCCCAGCTCTCATCTTCCTCATCTGCGCGTCTCCAGAAGAAGGAGAGCGCCCTGGAGATGAGGCTGAGCATCCCGGGCCGCCCTGGGGTCTCACACGTGCGCCGCTCCCGCCC